TACTAATGAAAAAAAGAAAATACAATAATATGTAATCGTCAGATATGACAAACAATTATATATATATATGTATATATAAGTTTCAATATTCTGGCCCTCGAGCAAAAATAGAAAAAAGTTAAAAATATAAAGTTTTACCCAAAACAAAAGTTACGAGGGGTTAGTATGTCATTAACTACGACTGGGATCCGCCAGATTACCGGATGGATATCGACATCTTACGACAAACTCAACGATTATCAGAAAGTGCTAATATAACATTTTACATCTCACAATATTTACCTACCTTTCCGGGAACAAAGTAAATGTGTAACTCTTCAATTTATGGATTTCTTTTTGGTGCAATAATTAAAACAACATTCCGATGCATCTGAGACACGACCAATACAGGGTTTTATAATTATTCTTAAATGAAGTTAACTTATAAAGTACAATACGAAACTCGTAATCTGTTGCGTAGTGTTAATAGTTTGGAATAATATAGCGGTTCGTGAAATAAGTGGCAGTAATGGCTGAAAGCAACTAAACGTTTGTAAAGTCATGGGCTTCAGCAAGAAAAGAGGGGCATTTGCTCCCCTTACATTGAACAAAAAATTATACGTATTATGATGTAAACTTAACATCGTAGTTAAACTAATCATTTTTAGTAATTTTTACTGTAAATTTGTGTTTGCGTTTAAGCACACATAACACATATTCTGTAGATTTACACTGTAAAAGCTGATCCCCTACATACATGTTTTGCCCCCTTCAAAATGTTTCTGTGGGCGTCCACGTGTAAAGACATTTCTTAGTGTATGTATATTACACAAGATATATACATAAGATATATACATACATACGTAATGTATCTCAAGGACTTAGCTTTCACACACAAACAAATGCTTTATATCTATCTACAGTAAATATTTGCAACTGTATAACCCTCAAGAATGGATATCATAATCTAAAAGTTATAACCCTCAAGAATGGGTATCATAATCCAAAAGTTTTATGGAAGGAATTTCATTTCTTAAGTTTTGCGATTCTTTGTAGATTAATCTTAGCTGGTTTATTTAAAACTTAAATGAAAGCAAGTCAGCTGAAACCCATCAAGACAGCTCTTACGATATGGAACCTTATCGAACTTATACGTGTGTGAAAACAGAGACAGTGTTTTTTAAAAACATCTTCAATTTTAACTCTGAGCCGCCAGGGAGTAGGGCTTCCGTAACTGTTAATATTTTTATATTGAATCTATTATAGAACTGTTGTTTTACATCAGTTCTGTATTGTCCTTTTTATATTTCCTATAAAATCTAAATACGGTTTAAGGGACCGCATTAAAAGTCTCTGGACTAGGGCCATGTAACTCACGACGCTGGGTCTGCTCCTGAGCAAAATACGAAGTTTAGATTCATAATAATCCAGAATATTTATTTTATAAGGGATACGTATATTTTTTTAATTATAAATTAAATTTGTTCAGCTCATTTTCTAGGTGGGAACGGTCAATCTTCATCGTTCGTAGTGGTTTCTTCCTAGGTAAGTTTCACGAACCAGATTCGTTGAGTGAGCCTTCTACAGGCCACATGGAAACCACTACGATTACGAAACACTTTCTGCATGTTACTTGCCGCAGTACATTATGTTTCTGTTGTTTTAGGTAATTGACTATTCATAGCTGATTCAGTTTTATTTTCCTAAGGGCAACTCACCATTGTGTAGAATTTCAATGATATCTTCATCTAGTTCAATGTGTCTAGGATGTGCCTGCTTCTTTCGCGTCATCTTAACAGCTCAATTCCGTGAGTAACGGCGCCTTATTAGAGACATCCTGTTTCGTTAAAAACCTTCGCTTCAAGAGAAACTGACGAATCTCGTACGTGATCTGTGTGGAACGACGGTGTTCCCTCCACTTCGACACTCGGGCTCAGACTGAAGACGCGGAGTCGCGGACACACAGTCACATGTAAGTACTGTCGAACTGACGCGGTAAACGAAGAAACCGAAGTCACATGATCGTTCGTTGATAGATATCACGTGATTGAATAGTACTGAACGTTCTTATCTTATAATGATATATTAATAAATCGTCCTATCACAATTTTTATCCTGATCTTCCAATACCAAAATAAGTTGGGTTTTTTTTGGCACATTTTTAATAGTCATCCATCACAGCATAATAACCACATAACAATTTGATCATAAGTTTTCACAAAATAAACTTATGCTAGAACGTACAGAGGCATTAAATTAATATTATCTGCAGAAAACTCTTATTGAGGCAGTTATTTACGAGATAAACTTCAGGTAAGCCGCACGAACATACCTACGAAATTATAGAAGAGGGGTTAATTTCTTAACACTTTAGATACGTGTATATCTTAGATAACCCTTAAACCCGGATAAATAAGTAAATTCTAAAAAAAATGACATGTATAGATTATTTGAAATCAAAATTTGTAACAAGTAGTAGTTTTATTTAAAAATTGTTATTTACAGTTTAAGTTTTTAAAGCTAGGGGGGGGCGCATCCCCTTACCTAGCTACGCCTATGAACTAGAAGAAGGTGGTGTGAGCATTTGTCACAAAAATATGGTGTGTGAGTAGTTTCAGCCTTCAGATAAGCCGGATCGAGCTAATATAAATACAACATTTCTTGTTATAGACAGAAATATTCTGCCGTTAAAACCTATCAAAAAGAAAAGTTCTACTATATGGAATAACTGGGAGATCGTATCTGATTAGAACTTTGTGTGGCGAAGGAACGTGTTATTGTGTCTGATTTCAAGTTTGTTTTTAGGACGAGAGGGTTATTGACTTTTGGTGTATGATTACAGATTTGTAATTTAGTTTATTTATGGGACGAGCGAGTTGTCGTGTCTGATTAAAGATTTGTGTTAGTTTGTAGATACAATTTACGTGTTATCTTGTCTGATTACAGATTTGTATTAGTTTGTTTATAGTAGTCACGTGTTATTGTGTCTGATTACAGATTTGTATCAGTTTGTTTACACGACGAGCAGGTTGTCGTGTCTGATTACAGATTTATATTAATTTGACTATAGGAGTAACATGCTATTGTGTCTGATTACAGATTTGTATCCGTTTGTTTACACGACGAGCAGGTTGTCGTGTCTGATTAAAGAGTTGTGTTAGTTTGTGGATAGAATGTACGTGTTATCATATCTGATTACAGGTTTATATTAATTTGACAATAGGAGTAACGTGTTATTTTGGCTGACTTTAGATGTATGGTAACTTGTTTGTAGAATGAATGTGTTATCGTGGTCTGATTTCAGATTTTTTTTCGATATGATGAATATGTTCCCGTACACCTCGTCGTTTGATTACTTTATAATAGAGTCATAGTATTTGTAATTCTTGGTTAGAACTTGTGATAAGTTATAAATTGTTTTACTATGATCGTGTTTCTTTGTTGTTTGAAATCATTAAGTGAGTTTCGTTTTCTTAATATAGTTGTACGTGTAACAATTGTAACTTTTTAACTCTAACTGTACGTACCAAATTGTTGGTGGTGTTGGTTACAGCTAAGGTCCCTAATAACATATGCGTAATTAAAGAATTAAACAAACAAGAAAAGGATCAGTATTTTAATTAATCCCTCTAACCACTGTTGGGGTCCCTTATGTAGTTAACATAAAAAATGAGTGATTTCACTCGATAGTTTTCGTAAGTTCTCTTTACAGTGAGTGTTCTAACAGACGGAAACATAAGTTTATGGACCACACCGATTGTGAAAGGAAAGAAACGCGACCTGACCTTGTCCTTTGTCAGTACTGGAAGCTACAGAATTGTTAATTCAAGAGTTAGATGTTACTGAGCTTGCTATCTTGTTTCTTGTGGCTAGTTTTGCAAAGGTTACATAAGCTTTGCCATGAGATATACCAGACCATAGGAACGATTCCATATTTTAGCTTAGAAACTGTGACGTATTTTGGCACAGGCTGCCTAGGCCTAGGGCGGCAGAATTTTGGCGGTATCGTTTGTTTAAAAATACCACTGAAGTGAATATAAATAAGTAGTGAATACAACACTAATAAGCAGTTGTTAAAATAAGATTCGCGATTCGCGACCGTTCTCTTCCTGCCGCCCCTCGTTTCTTTGCTATTGCTAATAAACTGCTGTTCTCGACCCCGCTGCCCTAAAATTTTTTATAGTTTTTGGTTGAGACTATGTCCGGTCCACAGAGCGCGGGGGTGGCACTTCAGAATGGGTTTATGGGTGTCAAAAACTTAATACGTCATTGCTTAGAAAACATTTCTACACGATGCTACTTGGTTTTTGACCAGTGGAAAATATCGAATAAAGATGTTTTCCTTGTAGTATATCTCATCTTACATTCTACAAGTTAAGACTCTTTATTCAGGTTGTTTGTGTTAGTATGCATGCTCATTCATTCATTAACAGCATTTAGTGCCTCATTTTTTTTAAAGGTACAGGTACAAGATCCCAAATCCGGAATGCTGATTTCGGAATTTTCCGGTTTTTGGGTCGTTCGGCCTGGCATGTACAGATGATATAAATAAAGTATGAAATACATACATAAAGATTGTTATTTACTTGCCTTTTGGACATTTTCACGATGAACAAATGGGTAAAAGTTCAAGTTAGCACAGCCAATGGGCAGGTTTGAACTGAGGCGACGACTCGTCCCCCCCAAACAAAGCGGCTTTGTCAGTAATTAATCTAAAATTAAGCCTAAAAGAAATGTTTAGTTACTTATTTGTACTTACCAATTTGTACAGTAATTGTTAGTGAAGTTTTCAATAATTTCAAGTCGGAAGTGTGCGCCAGTAACCAGAAAAAGTCCAGCTATAAGGAATTTCTACATTCTAATGGAGTGTTCAGCAGAATAGCCTGTTTCTGGAACATTCCGGTTTTGGGATCGTCTACCTGTATTACTTGAATCAGAGCTTAAATGGCGTTATTGTTAAATGTTTATCTGTAAAGAGACACATTAATTAACTTTGTTGATCTCAAGATTATCAATGTCTGTTGTTGTCTAAGTTAATTTTTGGTGTTTTGTCGTATTAATTACAGTGTCTTATTACCGCGTTTGTTTGTTTGTTAAGTCCAGTACCTTTGTTCAGAATATTGCACGTGTGACTCAGTGTTTCTAAAGGGGTCGAAGGCCACCTGGATGGGGTTACCTGCTTTAACCAATCGCACCATGATACAGTAGTATGCTGTCTGTCAGTCAGTAAGTAGACATTAAAATGACGTCACATAAGGAACACTTAACATTGCAATTTGTACTGGCGTGACGTCAGTAAAACGTGCGCATGCCATGAATGACGAGAAAAAATATGCACTCTGTAGGCTACAACACAGCATCACATATGAACTTCAAAAGCAAGAAATAAAAATATTTGTTATTCTTAGTTTTGGTTTTATTTACTCTTGAAACAGAACATTTTCGGGGACTCTGCGGAAATAATCTAGTTATAGTTATATGTATATGCTAGTGTTTGTGTGTGAGGTCAATGTTTTAATGGGCCTGAATACAGAAACAAATGTATTCACCTATAAACGTAGTGGTTTTAAAACTAAAATAATAAAAAAAATTTCGAAACATATTACATGTTTTATCCGTAAACAAGACTTAAATTTTCATGTTACAAGTTTTTCCTTTAACATAATTCAGATACGTGCCAATGTTTGCATGGGATTAATGTGTTAACGTACCTGAATACAGTAACCTGCCAATGTTTACATAAGATCAATGTACTGATGTGCCTGAATACAGATACCTGCTAATGTTTCTATACGATCAATGTGTTAATGTGCCTAAATACAGTTAGCTGCTGGTGTTTGCATAGGATCAATATGTTAGCGTGCCTGAATGCAAATTCCTGCTAAGGTTTCTTATACGATCAATGTGTTAATGTGCCTAAATACAGTTAGCTGCTAATGTTTGCATAGGATCAATGTGTTAACGTGCTTGAATACAGTTACCTACTAATGTTTGTATAGGATCAATGTGTTAACGTGCTTGAATACAGTTACCTACTAATGTTTGTATAGGATCAATGTGTTAACGTGCTTGAGTACAGTTACCTACTAATGTTTGTATAGGATCAATGTGTTAACGTGCTTGAGTACAGTTACCTACTAATGTTTGTATAGGATCAATGTGTTAACGTGCTTGAATACAGTTACCTACTAATGTTTGTATAGGATCAATGTGTTAACGTGCTTGAATACAGTTACCTACTAATGTTTGTATAGGATCAATGTGTTAACGTGTTTGAATACAATTACCTACTAATGTTTGTATAGGATCAATGTGTTAATGTGCCTAAATACAGTTAGCTGCTAATGTTTGTATAGGATCAATGTGTCAACGTGCTTGAGTACAGTTACTTACTAATGTTTGTATAGGATCAATGTGTTAACGTGCCTAAATACAGTTAGCTGCTAATGTTTGTATAGGATCAATGTGTTAACGTGCTTCAGTACAGTTACCTACTAATGTTTGTATAGGATCAATGTGTTAACGTGCCTGAATATAGTTACCTGCCAATGTTTGTATAGGATCAATGTGTTAACATGCCTGAATGAGTTAACTGATATCCTTACACTGTATTCTCGAGTTGTTTGTGGAAATATCAGTGAACTTACCGTTAAACATAGGAAGATACATTTTATCACATTATTTGCATTTGAGTGTGTATTTATTTATTTCTGAATTTCAATCATGTGAACGTTCATGTAAGATATTTATGTCTTCGCGTTCATTCGCACTGAACCTCAGGTCCTTTTGATTGTGATGTAGCAATACGTCTGACAGTGTTTCTTGCCCAGATAATGACCCACACCCGGAGATCACACGCCACTTCTGTGATAACAGCCCTGCTTAAAGCCAAATACGCAAGAGTCTAAGCAAT